TTGAAGTCTAGACCACCCTAACCATTTATAGGGTAGGCCGGGCAGGGCTCAGTGTGAGTTACTATTTGTGCTTGAAATCAGTTTTTAAAAGATACACACAGAACTCATGCACTCAGATGAGGCTTTGGCACCATCTCCTAGCAGGTGACCCCAACTAGAAAATGAGTCATTTTCAGCTTCTTGGTCTCGCTTCTATCTCCAGGAAGTCACCTTGTCCTCTGTGTTCTGTTACTTCAGGTCTCTGTCTGCACTCCTTACTAACCTTCCAGTCAAAATCCAGGGTGCTAATGAAGCCCCCCCCCCACTGGCTGTCCTGCCCTAGCCATATCTCTGCTCAGACCATCTCCCCAGGTCACCACAGGAGTCCTATGCGAGTTGTGGTTGCCATTTACAAGTTACCCCAAGACTAATGACTTAAGAGGACAATATCATTTCCTTCTCTGTGGTAGTTTGTGTGGGTTGGTGATTCAAGAGGGTCCTGGCTGGGTGGTTCTGGTTTGGGGCCTTGTGCTATTGCAGGCTGGTGGAACCATGGGGACCTAGAGCACCTGGGATCCTTGGGCATGTCTCTTCTCAGAGGATTTCAGGGTATGTGTGTGTGTGACTTGGCTGCAGGGCAAGATTGGGCCCCCATACAACATGGCAGCTGGAGGGCAGGTGAAGTTTGCTTTGCCACTTGAGGTCCCAGGACCTGTGCTCAGCTGGCTGGGGAGAAGCTGCAGTCGCCCATGGTGTGGCCCCAGAAGTCCCAGAGTATCAGCTGATAGAACAGTTGCAGATGATCCCCCCATTCCAAGGGAGAGGACATAGACGCAAGCAAGGCCACAAAGAGGTGCATAGGAGACAGGGGCCTTGTTAGTGATGATTTTTAGAAAATAACCTTGGGTCAGGGATTTAGCTCAGTGGTTCCACTGCTTGTTTCATAAGTGCAAGGTCCTGAGTTTGATCCCTGGTACCACAAAAAAAAAAAAAAAGAAAAGAAAATAATAGCCTTATTCACCTTCTCAGACATCTAATGTTCATTCTGCTAGGGAAAAATCTTTAGAATCTCTTAAACCCTCATGGAAATGTGGATTTTCGAATCGAAAAAGTCAAACAGCATGGCCCAGAAGCCTTACCTATGATGTAGACAGAAGCACAACTGCTGGAGAGGTGAGGGTCTGCGCTGAGGAGCAGACCAGGGTGAGCTGCCCTCTGAGCAGTTTGGGCGTGATCCAGTGAGCGGTACACCAAAGTGCCTACATCCCCCACCCGCCAGCATTTTTCTGCGGGGCTGGAGGTGTGCTCTCATCTTCTCTTCCTCCTAAATGCTGCTGCTGCAGGTGTGCGGTGGCCTGGAGAGGCCTGGGGGGCTCTGGGGCACAGGATGACAGCCCAGCTATTATGCCCCTCTTAAGACATCTTTTGAGGTTTTCTGTGCCGCTCGGTGTATACCTTTACACAGGTATTCGTTAGCATGGTGGATAGTGTGTCTGTTGTATTGAAGTGGAGTTTATCACAAGCTGAGAATGTCCTGTCTTCACATCTCCACCTAAAGACTTTCTGTTGATGATTTCTTCCTTGGGCTTTTGCCTCTTGGCATTGGTTTAATAGGCCAGGTTTGACTGAATGCAGATGATTTGACAACACTGTACAGTGTGAACTCTTCAGCTATTTTGGGCTTTGCTGTCTTATTTGACTTAACTATTTTTCAGAAAAATGGTTCTAGTCCATTTTAATGTTATTTTACTTGTTGCAGGGTGAGTTGAGCAGTATGAAGACCAGCAAAAGCAAAAAATTTCCCACCTCAGTTTATGTACTTAGTAAGGCTGTCCTTGCAGCCCCACTAGCTTGAAGTGGGGAAAGGGACCCCTCCTGCCTTTTTACATCCTCAGAGACTCAACCCTTAATTCTTTCCCATTTCTATATTGTCTTCAGCACAGCTCTGTGAAACCTGGGACTTGATGTTTACCTGTCAGCATTAAAAACAGAGCTTGTTACCTAGGAAGCACTCAGTAATTATTGAATGACCAATTGAACAGGCAGAGAACTCTGGAAGCTGAAGTGAGATGGTCATTCTTTTGCACCAGTGGGAGGTGGAACTGGTAAAGCAAAGCTCATGCTATGAAGACGATGTCTGGGATCAGTTAACACTTTTGAAGAAGCTGGCTTAGTCAGGGGCTGGCAGTTTACAGAATAAATAGAAAGCTGTTTAGGGCATAACCACAAAAGTGGGGGGGGGGATGAGAAAATAATTAACAGAAAGAAGTGCAAATCATTGTATTGTGAACTCTGCCTCTATATCTTCTGTGTCTTCACTGTACATCCCCCACAGCTGAGTGGCTGTCTGCTGTTTTATGAACAGTTGGTTCCTTGAAGCTCAGGAATAGGTTTCACACATGGGGCCAAGTTCAGGGCCTGGCCTAAGGTTGACTCAAATGCTCTTGTTGGATTGCAACCTAATTGTTGGTCTGAGGAGGACTGAATCCAGAACTGATAGTTTTGTTGAAGGGCAGGACAGATGGAACCCAGTGTTGCATCTGTACTTGGGGTGAGATAAAGGGCATGGCCCACCTAGAAGGACTCTTAGAGATCAGCTTGTCCAAATCCCAGATCAAATCCCTGATCGTACAGACATCTGGTGACAGGAAAGACAATGCAGCCTGGACTCCTGAATCTTAAATCCTAAATCCTGTCCTCACTCGATCTTGTTTGTTTTCCTGATACCTTTAAAAACTAGACATCTCATAACGTGGTAGCACATTGACCTACATTTTAAGCATCATGATATAATGATTACTCTTGATCTTTTAAGACCTGGACAGTATCAATTTACTTTGTTCTAGTGGTTTCTCCTGTAATTTCTCCTTCATCTTGCGTATTTTGTTCATCACTCCCTGGACTTGGCTTAAAGAATAAGAAGGAAAGAAAAAACCCCTTGTATGTGTTGAGCTGGTGTGTGGTGTATAGCTCAGTGGTAGAGCACTTGCCTAGCATGTGCGAGGCCTTGCATTTGGTCCCCAGCATTGCAGAATAAAAGAGTGGAAGGATGGATAGACAGCATAAAATGCATGCACACATGTACACGTGAATGTTTATGTCTCAGAGTTCACTTAGCCTGTTTCTGAGCCTTTGAGAAGTGGTATTAGCCTCGGTAGTCCCCTGAGATGACACCCCCAGTCATCCTGCTTCTAGGGTCACTTCTTGTTGCTTGTAACTGTGGGTCACCCTTATTTTCTTCATTCTCCTCATGGTGTTTCCTGCTTGGACCCTTAGGGTTTGGGATGGCTCCCAAGCAAATGGCTCCAGTTAACTCTAATTTTAACTTTTTACAAGCTGTCATTAAGTTTTCCCATGCTGCTTCACTTATGGGAAGCATTTAGTCATTTCCTAATTTAATGATAGTTAAACATCCTTAGCCCTAGAAATTTGTTGTGAAACATTTCCAATTAAGATTAATTGGGATGGATTCTGAATATGAGTTAGATGGCTTCGCAAAAGTGTTTTGGTGCTGCTGGCGAGGCACAGTCTGGCTGACTGGAAGGAAGCCCTACCGCACTGGTCCCCCACCCCGGGGAGTGGGGTGTAAGGACAGGAGTGGCACATTGGGGCTGGGGTTGAGGTGCAAAGAGGCTCCACAGAGGGTTGAAACGATGTTTCTTCCCATTGACCATCTCTAGTCAAATTACGACTTTTTTTTCCTGGATCGCCCTGCTCAATTTCTAAGTTAATCCCTTCCGAATCCCAGTATGTTCTGGATTACAGTTTTAAATTAGCTAGGCTTACTTATATCATAAGTTTGCTTTTTAATTCAGAAGAAGATTGATGATGTCTAGTTATTTCACAGAAATCAGAAGGCTTTAGGGCTTACGAGTGGTATTTGAATTAGAATTATATGCACATTGTTTCTCCTAATGTGCAGTTTTCTGGAGAGGGGCCTTGGCCTAAACCAGATTCTGGGAGCCAGCAACCCTCCCCCAGTGGTTATTTTTAGACCAGGAGTTTTTAGCCTTGACTCTGTCAAACATTTGGGTGATTCTTTATTGTAAGGAGGCTGTTCTTTGCATTTGAGTCTCTAGAGGCATCCCTGGCCCATTCTCACGAAATGCTGGCATGTTCCCCTTCCCCGGTGTGACAGTTAAAAATGTCTCTGTACATTACCAGATGTCTCTGGGCGGGGATTGGGTGGAGATATGTGTGCTTATGAAAATTACCCCCAGTTGAGAAACTAGTTTACAGCTTTCGCCAGATTTTCCTTAAATCTTGAAGGGTTTTCATTCCTGCGCAGGCCGGAGAGCACATCGCTGTTTGTGGAGTTTTTGTGCACTCAGCGCCAGTTTAAGGCAACAGGAGAGGTCAGGATTAGATTTAGTCTGCGTGGGAGGAGTCATAAAATATTTCTATTTAAAATTATTTTTAGCTCAGTGGTTTTGCCGCCTGCCTTGCAAGTGCAAGGACCCGAATTCAATCCCCAGTACCAAAAAAAAAAAACTTATTTTTAAATATTTAGGATCTATGCATTTATACATGACCCCCTAGTCGTAAAACACACCCTGCTGTGTATTACACATCCCACCTGTGTTGTCTAAATCATCCTAATAATCTGTGAGCACGTTATCCATAGAACGCTATACCATTCTGTAGATAGAGGCTGGTACAGGTTTAAAAACTTGGCCAGGCTTATAAGTTAAGGAACAGCAGCCCTGGGAGTTGAATAAGTATCTCAGATTCTAGTCAGCTTATCTGTGCTGCACCCTAGACACGGTGTTGAATCCCTCCCATGCCAGCAGGCCAGACCCGTGTCGCTGTGGACTCGGCTGACGTGTGTTGGCAGAGCAGAGAGTGGCACAAGCGAGGAGTTCGTGGTTGCCACGGTGCTTCATGAAGCAAAACACGATAGGGCTTTCTGTCTCTGCTTTTCTCTTTTCTTTTCAGAGTACATGGTTTGTTTTGTGTCCTAGAATAAATGTCACCAATAACTATTCTGAGCGAGGGACAACCTTTTTTTCTTTAACGACCAGCCGGTTGTGCCATACCGCTATCTGAAAACGAAGCTCAGTTCCAGTTACGACGAGTCCTTGAGTCATGGCCCTTCCGTGGTGAGTAGACCGGGAGCGTACATGCTGATGGTATTCGAAGGCTGCGTTCCATTACAGCCAAGTGCGGCATTTGAAGGACTGTTTTGTATGTGACTCTTTACCTTGTTGACTTAGGGCTTTCAGAGGTTCTGAAATTGGTCTGAGCAGAGCAGGTGCACGTACAGACCGTGTACGCCTCTCTGGTTGGCAGTGTTGGGACTCCACCTGCCTTACTGCACGCAGACTCAGTTTCCCTGGGGCTCACCCTTTGCACTTCATTTCTTGTCTCCTGATGTCTAGCCTTCAGTGCCGTAGCCCGCCATGCACTTTGTATTTTACCAGCCTTGCCCAGACTTGTCCCTCTCTTCTTCCTTCTTTGCTCTTTTTGTTACTTTGTGTTTATGAAGGCTGGAACATAGCGGCTCTAAGTGTTTCAGTATAAATACTAAATGAGGACGCATTGCTTTCAAAAGATGCTCCAGGGCCAGCGATTTACCTCAGTGGTGCCGCCGCTTGCCTCGTGTAAGTGCAAGGTCCTGAGTTCGATCCGCGGACCCCCCAAAATAAATAAAAGACGCCGATAAAGGAGAATACTTTTTATCCCTGGTGCCCTGACTTTGTCACACTTGTCCACTTGGTTGGGGAGAGCAAGCTTGTGACTGTAGTGTGTGCTTCAGGTTTCAGCCCAGTTTTGTGTAAGATCTAGTTGATAGTCAAAGCACTTTTAACCTTGGTGTGCATCTCGCCATTGATTCTTTGCCTGCTTTCTTTCTCCCCTGATTGGGAGCTCATCGGGATCCTGGCCTAGTGACGTTGCCTGACGTTTAGGTCCAGGTGACAGCAAGGGCACCCCTTATCTGCTCTGAGCTTGCTCCCCGTAGCACTGGCTAGCACAGCTGCAGCCGCTGGGTCTGCCTGCTGAGGAGGAAGTGAGCCAAGGCTGGCTGAACTCTCCTGCCTGCTTCTGCTTCTTTCTGGAACTTGTGTGAAAAGGATGCCTGGAGGGGGACAGGCAGCCTTTACAGAGTCATCCCAAGCTACAGGCTCACGCGGGATGTGGGGAGCGCTCATTGCCAGGCAGTTTGGGTCTTAGAACCCTCCCAGGCAGGCAGCAACTGCAAGAATGCTTTTGGGAAGGAGTCTTGGTATTGGCCCAAAAGACTTAAGTGCCTTCCTTTCCGCTCCACAGAGTGATCAACAGCTGGACTGTGCCTTGGACCTGATGAGGCGCCTGCCTCCACAGCAAATCGAGAAGAACCTCAGTGACCTGATCGACCTGGTACGTGCCTCCTTCAGATGGTTTCATTTGAGGCCACGGCTCATAATTGCTTGGTTTTATGTAGTTCTTTCCGTGCAGAATTCAAAACACAGGAAACCTCTTCTCTCCCTAGTCAGACAACACCACTGGGCTTGAAGATTCCTCTGGACAGAGAAGATGAGTTTCATAGGGTGGTCTTTCTTTGAGGCCATCCGTGCTGATAAAGCCCAAGATAAGCATTGTAAAGTTGATTATGGTCCACACCCCTTCCTCTAGCTTGTCTTCTAGCTGGCATTTAGGCGTAGTGAGGAAGCCGCGTATCCAGCAGTGCCTGACAAGGCAGCCACACCAGGCGGTACAGAGATGGCTGTCCCGTGAGCTCCTCCAGCCAGCGCAGTACCGTCCACCCTGGAAGGTCCTTCAGGGGCCTCATTTCTAGCTTGGAAAAGTTTGCCAGACAAGGAACTCAACGTATATGTATATATTTTTAAATACTTTAATATTAACTTTTTAAAAATAATCAAAATGATTCATTTGATGACTCAAATGATGCCTCAGATTAACTGAGACCATAATATTACTTGAAAATGCCGAAATACTAAAAAAAAAAATCTATAAAGCTACAGGAAAAATTGAAAAGAAATAAACTGAAATCCGGTGTCAGGCCAGCCAACTTACCTAGATCACTTACAAAGCAGATTCTGGCACTCACGCTGGAGCTGCATCCTCTGTGTTTTCCATTGTGTCCCTTGTCTTTGGATGTTATTATCACTTGCCATGCATGGCTCATTAGTGAGGTGTCTTTTAAAATGGGGATTTGAAAACATGTTCGTCTGCTGTGGTGCTTTATTTAATTCCATTCTACCAATTCAGAACAGTTTCACTAGAAAAAAAGTGTAATAGCAGGAGGCTGGTGTCATTCACAGATAAACTCTTCTTTGTAGCCGTCTGGAAGGTGCACTGAGCAGCTATTTGTGTATTTACAAAAACATGAACTTCCAGCTGAGAGGCAGGTGTGTGCAACAGAGTCGAACCTAAGGGTGGAGTTGTGAACTTGCCGTATTCACGTGAAGTCATTCAGGAAGTGAGGAGGAAGAGGTCTCTTGACGTCCTTGCCTGCTGAGAGCCAGTGCAGGTGCTTTGTGCTGGAAGTGAAGAAGGAGGTACAAAAAGTGATGATTCCGGGCCAGACAGATGCACATTATAGAAGTGCACCGAAGTCCAGAAGATTGAACTGCGGTACGGATTAAGCTGCTGTGTGCCCAGGAGGAGGGCAAGGCTCGGGGAGGGAAGTCACTTATGTGGGCTTGGCGTGAGAAAAAGGGTACAGTGTGTCGGGCACAGGCCCGTCTGGAAAGGCAGCTGGCTGACTCTCTCTCAGACACTTGTTGCCTGTTGTTTGTTTTCAGGTTTTTCTGAAGGAGTTGGTACATTTGGATTTTTTATTTGTCTTGATATTTAAAAATTGGCCTAACCGTTAGATGGGTTGTGTCTGATTTTGTGTGGACTCTGGCTCTGACCATGTGAGGTGGGATGGGACAGGCAGAGGGGGTTTAGAGGAGATGGTGAAGTTGGATAGGAGGGAGGTGTCCTTGGAGGTCCAGAGGAGATACGTATGACACAGTAATAATTGTCCCATTGGCCCACGTACTGGCCTTTGCACGTAGGGCATTGTGCTATTTTTGCATGGCTGCTCTGACCATGTGAGGTGGGATGGGACAGGCAGAGGGGGTTTAGAGGAGATGGTGAAGTTGGATAGGAGGGAGGTGTCCTTGGAGGTCCAGAGGAGATACGTATGACACAGTAATAATTGTCCCATTGGCCCACGTACTGGCCTTTGCACGTAGGGCATTGTGCTATTGATTTGCATGGCCATATTTAACTCAGCAGTCATATAAGGCAGCGCTGCAAAATGGAGTTGGGGAAGTATGCCAAGTCTCCCTTATTTGGTCAGGAATCTGACTGACCCCATGTGGACAAGGTGGGCCAGAGTTGAAGATATGATTAGACCCCTGTTCTGGCTCGCTGCAGGGACCTCCTTTTCCTTTCAAACGCAGAGTGAAAATATGCTTGGCTGAAATCTGATTTAGTTTGCCAATTTAGTTATTATTGTATTTTAGAGATAAACCAGACATAGAAGTAAGAAAGGATAAGCTCATTCTCCATCAGCTGTTCTTGGTACTTAACAGGCTATTTTGTTCTATGACAACCAAAGGATTGTACTATTATTTTGTATTTTCTCCGGGATTTTCTTAAAGATGTGCGTGGAGCTGCTTTTATGAAAACCTAGCCAGCTAGTTCCATTGCTACAGATGCCAGTTTTCCTTGGGTCAGCAGGGAATTTGCAGCATTGATGGGGATTGGAAAGGACAGGAGGAACAAGAGCCAACCTACATCAAACACTTGAGAAGTGAGGTCAGCCTGAGGTTCATTGTGTGGGCTGGTGCTTGGACACAGGCTGAAGTACCAAACTGCACCTGTCACTGATACCCAATGCAGTACATGTCATTCCAAGGTTATTGTCAGACCACAGTACTTACCCTTTTTACCGCTGTCTTGTGCAGAATGTAAACCAGAGGGGAAGTAGAGGCAAACCAGGGTTGGCTAACCTTGTTGTCATTGTTGTTTTGAGGCTAGGTATCTGACCTCAAACTCACAGTCCTGCTGCAGCCTCCTGAGTGATTACAGATGTGTGCCTCCACACCATTGACAGCGAACAGTTGTTGAATACCCACTGTTTCCTTCAGATCTTTTTTTGTTTTGTTTTTGTTTTTTTGAGACAGGGTCTTGCTATGTAATTCAGTCTGGTCTTGAACTCACTGTGTAGCCCAGGCTGGCCTCAGATTTGCGGAAATCTTCCTGCCTCTGGCTCCTGAGTGCTTGGGTTATTGATGTGTGCCACCATCCCTGATGCAGTGTGCTTTAGATCTTAAATGTCCCCCAAAGGTTCACGTGTTGAAAGCTTAGTTCCCAGCTAATGGCACTGTTAGGAGGTGGTGGAGCCTGCAGGAGATGGAGCCTACCGGAAGGATGTTAGATCACTGGGGCATGCCATTGAAGAAGATATTGGGACCCTGGTCCCTCCTCTCTATCTCTTCTTCCTGGTCACCATGAGATGGGCAGCTCTGCTCTGCCACGCACTTCCTGCTGTGATATTCTGTCCCACCACAGGCCCAAAAGCGATGGAGCCAGCAGACCAGAACTAAAGCCTCTGAAACCATGAGTCTCGATGCTTCTTCCTGTTAATTATCTCAGGTGTTGGTCACATCCGTGGAAGGCTATCATTCCCGCTGAGTGCCAGGACCTCGTTGTACACTTCCACTTGTGTTCTTACTCCTGCACCTGATTTTTGCAGTGCCTCTTTAATCTACCTGTTGTTTAGATGGCTTGGACTCTGTGAAGATGGAGCCGGGGCGGTGTGGCCAGGCTGCCTGGACAGCTCTGCATGCTGGCTTTCGGGTGCTCTTGCGCACTCATGGCAGCAGAAGGGATGATTTTAACTTCACACAGTTTAAAAACAAACTAGAGACGTGAAAGACATTCCCTTCCTGGGGCCAGGCCGATTAGGACGAGCTTCATGGGGTGGCACGTGGAGTACTGGCTCCCCTCGCTCAGCCTTGGGGCCGTCTGCCTCCCTGGGGTGAACAAGAGGCCATGGTAGATTCCCTTCTTGGGATGGGTTGGGGAATTGGGACTCTCGTTAATTTTTTAATTGAAATGTGGTGTCAGAATGGAAGTGGAGCGTGACCTCTCAGCACATTAGAATCTGGTACAGCATGCCTCATTACAATGGTGTTGGCCTGCTTCACAGCCTCTGTTTGCTTGATGGTTTGGCTTTGAGGTGCTTGCTGTGCGGTACATGTGTAAGGGGCAGTCGGGCTGGCGTTTTATACATTCTGTGATCCCTCCTAGAAGTTACTTTGAATGTTTTTCTTTCCTTGTTGTGGTTTTTCTCCTTTTTTTTTTTTTTTTT